AGAAATCTACAGAAGCTCTAAGGTTCAACAAACTGTACATCATACAAAAAATTAACTTAATTTACAGACAGTCAAAAAAGTATTGGTAATGCCCTTTATAAATCTTAGCAAAGATTCATCACAAAGGATATTACAATCTACATATGTGGTCATCACCAGACAAGTTCCATTCATATTTACGTGGTACAGGACTAAGTATCTGTTAAATGTACACATGTAGGATCAGCACTTTGTACCATATACATTTCTTTTAAAGTAACAGAACTGTCAATCCTAATCTAAGGTACATGATTTTCTTATTGCATATTTATTGTTGCTGAGGCAGTTAGTTATGATACAATAATACAATATCCATAATTATTTTAAATAAACAGAAACATTTCTCCCGCCAACAATATAAAGGATATACTTTTTCTAAAATGACACAGAACATTGCTACATACAGTTTTACACAAATACTGAAAAACATGACCTTAAGGCATCTGCCAGAAAAGCAGATGTGCATATTTATATAAACTAAATTATGCAAGAAAAAAATATTGCACAAAATCCTATTATTTTCAAAATGAAATGTTTATGTCTAAATGCACATAACTCCCTATTTCTTGACCAAATCATGTTAAGTGGTTTGCTCAGAACCATTCTGTCTCTTAAGTAAGCTTTAAGAAACATACACTAACAATATTACTGGGCTTGTCGTAGGAAGGATGTTACTACTGACAAAGGGTTTGTAGAAACTACTTCTTACATTAAGAAGTGCTTTGTGGGAAATTAGATTTGGGGATAAATTCTTAAATTTATATTCCGATTTGCAAATATTTTCTCAGATTAAGGGTCTTTTATGCCAAACGAAATGGAATTCACATAGAAAATTTATTCATGAAAATGATCTTTTCCTGAAAATCCGTATTTCCTGGAAGAGAATGAAGGTCTACTGATGACGAGGATACTCACAGTTTTCTAGTCTACTTCTTCACCTGTTGTCACTAGCATTCCTGGATCCCATTATTAGGACATTAGTGCAGACTCCTAATAACAGCGCTGTCATACAGAGTTTTAATTTAAAAGGGAGGAACTGTTTCCAGAGAATGCTGTTGCCAAGATAAAAATAGTAAAGACTGGATTCCCATCAACTGCATCCGCAACCTAAATTATTCCTAAAGTAAGTCAAGTGGCCCTAAGTGTTGCAAAGGAGCATCATCCCATTCCAGAGAGTCCTGTGCTGACTGGTTAGCTGACAAAGAATCAGATAAACAAGGACCCTAAATTATTCCTAAAGTAAGTCAAGTGGCCCTAACTGTTGCAAAGGAGCACCATCCCATTCCAGAGAGTCCTGTGCTGACTGGTTAGCTGACAAAGAATCAGATAAACAAGGACACTCAGTTTGTAAGAGAGTTTGAATTTATCCTTTAAAAGTGGATATCTTAACAGCATTATTAGCATAACAACTGAGAAAGTTAATGACATTAGAAATGGTACTACGGTTCTGAACTTGAGCATGCTTTAGGTTAAGCTGTTCTAAAAAACTTCTTTTTAGATGTTAGAATATTGGGCTAATAACCTCTGAGTACATTATTATAATTATTATTTCAGCAGATTTATAATTCCTTTTCCTTTTAATTGATATCTTCAGAGCAGGGACCGTGTCAACTATTTTATTTCCCTACATCATCTGTTACTGTACCTTGTATATGACTGGTACAAAAAGTCAGTAAATATTTTCTAAATAAATGATGTATATTAATTCTTAATCAGAAAAATAATCATGCTCTATTTTGCTGCCTTTCTAAGATATGCTAAAGTAGGTACCATCAGAATAGACCACTTAGCAACATTTTCACTTAACAAAACAACAGCTCTTAAATTCATACACTACTTCTCTATCCCCCTAAATACTATGGATGCCTAAGGGCAAAATAATAAAAGCTTGAGTAGGATTCAGGAAGAATCACAACTCAGTTTAGAGGCCACATAGATCTGAAAGGCTATATACCAAAGCCAAAAGTCCTATTAGTTTATACAATTCTGTTATATTAACACGTGTTGCTTCTTTGAAAAATAATTTCAAACAGCAGAGGAGTTTACAAATATTTGGTTTAGTTACAATAGAAAATCTGGGCACAGCAGAAAATAAGACAACACTTCCACTTATTTTAGAACTCACCCTCATTCTTACCATAATACTGGGAGGTCTAGTTTAAGAGCAGACTTTGAATATTCAAAATTTTAATGGCTTGAAATACCAATCCTTGTTTCTAGTCTTCTCTGGTTTTTTTCAAAAATAACATGTAGAGCTTTGTTTTTGCTTCTGTTTTTAACATGGAACAAAACAATTAATTTTGCATGTTAAAATAAGGCACAAATCATTTTTAAATACCTTGAGACAATTATGTTATTTGTGAGTGGATAAATATCCTCCAGACAACACAGTGTTATAGCCAAACATCTTGTGAGGTGACTGAGAGACAGAAAAAGAACTTAGATTTCTAAGGCCATGATGTTTATGAAGCAAATAGATTAAAACCTAAATTGGCCTATGCTATACTCACGGTTATCTCTTTCTTCAGACTATGAGTTCTAAAGACAAAAAAAAGTAAAAAATTAAAAAATCCTCATTTCAAAATTCAAAAAAGTATTAAATGGCTGCTTTACATTCTTTTCAAAAATTATGAAGAATTATTTGCCAAGCAGATTAACAGGCACAGTAACTTTTTTCCCTTCTCATTAAAGCAACTCTTTTGATATATGGACTTCTATTTACATACTTCAGTAAATCAGAATTTTGTAATGAGCATATAAAGGCAAAATTTGACAAGAACATTGAGTCTTACTTCTGTGTTTAAAAAAAATAATAATTAAACACTTTTTCCCTTAAAATATAGAGTCTATCTTTATAAGGAAAATAAGATTGGTCTTCTTTTATAATCATGAATAAATAATTGCCCCAAATAAAACATAACCATTTGGAGTTTGGAATGTAGTTAAAAAAGAAAAACTTGGTTATTTTCTTTAAATTATTTCAAGACCAACCTGAATAAATACTTTGAAGTTATGTTTTTAAGAAACCCCCTTTTAGGATTTTAACAAATTTTGTTCTTTCAGTAAATATTTTAGAGTACAGTCTTGTTGGGGTACTTGAATGGTTTCTCAAACATCTTTTCTAAAACGACAATTTTTTAAAAATAACCATGGTTAGGGATATATAGAGTTAGATACACTGAATATGCTAATAACAAATTAAC